CGCCGCCGAGGCGAACCTGGGGCTGCGCGGGGCCTTTTCCCGTTTTACGTTCACCGTCTGACTTCGGCCTGTCAGCATGTGAGAGGAGTTTTATTGGTCTCTTTGATGTTGCGGAGACCAGAACTGTACAGACTTTCATTAAAACCCTGCCCTGTGGGCCCGGGGATTATGAATATTAGAACATTGCCCTTTTATGTGAACACGTATTGACCAGCAAACTCTGAATAGTGTTTTTACTAACGACACCCAAGTGCCCATTACAGCCCCTGCCTGTATTGCTTGAGGTTTACTGTCAGCAGCTCTTCGGGAAAGGTATAAAACCCCTTTCAGAAGCGTTCGGCTGTTCCTTACAGCGTGTGTGCGTATGTTAAAAGGTTGCTAAGCTGCCTGTGAAAGCTCATGAAGGCAATTATCCATTTAAAAAAAAAAAAAAAAGCTAATTAGGCAATTTCTCTCTGTATTTGAAAGCACCCTAGAGGGTCTCATGGGGTGGATTAGGATTTTGTAATATTTTTCAGCTCCTTACTTGATCGTAGCTGCTTCATTTTCCTCCTCTCGCGTTGTGCAATCTCTCGTAACAAAGACCTGATTCACGCTCGTTATGCAAGAGCGCCCTTTCCCCAGCGCCGCTGCGGCCGCGCGGGCCGGCCGGCCGCGCTCCCCTTTGCTCACCCCCTGCCCTTTGTCGTCTCGCTCTTTAGGGACGAGGGCAAAGCTGGGATCTGCGCTTGGCTCCGGCGGCGGGCAGGGCGCTGCCCCGTGGCCCGCGTGTGTCTGCCCCAACGAAACCCGCTCGCGTCCAGCTGAGACGGCTGTGTTATTAGCCAGAGCAGCCCCAAACATGTGTGAAACGTGGATTATACACAGTTCCTAATAGCTGTAGGAACAGCTTGACTCCGCTACAGCTCTCCCTGGTGCTTTGTGAGAGAGAGCTTTTAATAGTGCCTGTGACACAGAAAAGGAACTATCAGCCTCTTGTAATTTGGGTTCGTTTTTACTGCTGGTGCGTCAGGAGACAACTGTGAACTAATTTCAGTGATGCCATTCGATAACCTTGTGAAATCTGTAACCGTTTCAGGCGCTGGGGGAGGAGGGGGCTCGCTGCGCGCGCGGGGCGGCAGGGCTTTCTGCCCGTCCTTGGAGAGGGGCAGAGCGGGAGCCCGGGGCCGCGCGGTGCCCGGGCTGCAG